TAAGAATCAACAATATAGGTGTGTACGTAAACGTCAGTTTTGTTACGTAAAACTGAAATTTCGAGAAACTCTCCACACGCCTATAAATATAACCAACGCGACGTACCAAACAGATTATATATTATTGTTTGCTATAGTTGGTGTGCTATAAACTTTGGAAACTATAACTGTGATTGTTATAACGCTTAATAATCAGGACACTTCAGATATTTGACCAGGAACATTTATCAATTTCTAACATTACAAATCATTTAACTTCAGTGGATTCACATCGGATATTAGTGCTTTTACGAAGATATTATATAACTTCAGTGATAAAAGAAACTCGACCTGAAATCGGGGTGTGATCAGCGAGAACTACATAGTTAGCTAGCTTCCTATTAAGTGAATAGTACCTACTTCAACTCGAAATTAACTCACTCATCGTAAACCCTCGATAAGATATCAAGGAAGTTCTAGACTTGAAATAAGACTTTATATTGCTTGTATAAATTTGTAAAACATTTGTATATAAATCATTGTTTGTGATAACTGTTATTGTAAATTGTATTGTTGTTTATTTATTAAGACATATTTCTATTAAAAAAGAAACTGTGTGTATCAATCTTGTTGGCAAATATCATAAATTGAATATATATCGGCATTTATTTAACTACTAAATCTAAATCACAATTTAGCTCGGTTTCAGACCATTTGAAATTGCAATACGTAACAGAGTAAAACACAGCAAAGAAGTAAACGTAGAAAAACAATATGAAGACAAAACATCTGTAGTCCACCTATATCTTATGTCGATAGATCAAAATGTTAAACTTGTGAATTTAGTACACTGACACCCTTTATAAAACATATCATTCAAAAGAGATTGACACCGTTAACCATAATGTGTTAGTCCTTACTTGTACGCAGTGTTGGTTGGAATATCTGCTATACCTACCTTCATTTATTAGTTTTTATTACTTATAATTGCAATTTTATGTTTATTATGTTATTATAATAACCATTTCACATTTCACTAATTTTAATTTAACATTGTTAGTTTTATAAATGGATTTGGGATTAACCTAAATCTCACCCACGTGAGATGTTCACGCACGAAACTCGTCCTCGACTAGAATACCCAGCTAATGAAACGATGCAATCCAATCTTTGTGAATACAAACATCTGAAAAGTATTTTTAATTAGCTATGCTCATAACTTGATAACTTTTATTTTTGTTTTATGTAGATAGCTTATTTTGATCAGAAGTTAATATTAACTCGTACAGGAATGTTTATGAAGAAAATATCGAAACCCACACTTATATCATAAGATTGTTTATTAAATGGTAGATAAATTCAAGCAACTTGCACGGATTGGTTTTGCAGTAAAGAAAGACACTTCATTGTATCAGTTTGGAATGTTTTTTAGCATAATCGCTAAACGTAAAAACAGGTAATTTCCGAATAAAGCTATTTCATAATATGCACTGAAATAACATTTATTTAGAATTTATTTTGTTTGACGAAACTACTCTAATATATTTCGTGAATCTTAACTGACTCAACTATTTCAAAGTATTTTTAAATTTCAAATGAAAAAAAACTACTGCATTGTCTTTATAAGATCTTAACTTCTGCATTGTATTTATAGAATCTTAACTACTGCATTGTCTTTATAAGATCTTAACTTCTGCATTGTCTTTATAAAATCTTAACTTCTGCATTGTCTTTATAAAATCTTAACTTCTGCATTGTCTTTATAAAATCTTAACTTCTGCAATGAATTTATAATATCTTAACTTCTGCAATGAATTTATAAAATCTTAATTTCTGCAATGAATTTATAACATCTTAATATCTGCAATGAATTTATAAAATCTTAACTCTGCAATGTATTTATAAAATCGTAACTTCTGTAATGAATTTTTAACAACTTAACTTCTGCAATGCAATTCCTAAATCTTAACTTCTGCAATGTAATTCCTAAATCTGAACTTCTGCAATGTAATTCCTAAATCTTAACTTCTGCAATGTAATTCCTAAATCTTAACTACAACAACTACTGAAATTTATTTCTTAAATTTTAACTGAAACAACTACTACAATGCAATTCTTAAATCTTAATTGAAGTTTATATCTGAACTGAAACCGTTGCTGTAATGTATTTCTTAAATTCTCTTATTTTATCAATTATGAAACAAAAAATATTTCAAAACATTTTTTTAATATAAATAAATCGACCCGCTAGACGATAAACTGGATAATAATTTTACTAAAGTAAATTAATTAATTAACTCAGTGTCTAGCGGATATGTTAATGAATATGTACTGTAGTGGAAATATCACGTTGCAAAAAAAGGGTAAGGTAATTCCATATTAATATATATGTAAAACGAACTAAACGTAAATCCTACTAAATGTTGGATTAAAAATGTGAAAAAATAAATATGTAAAACTAACTAAACGTAAATCCTACTAAATGTTGGATTAAAAATGTGAAAAAATATATATGTAAAACGAACTAAACGTAAATCCTACTAAAATGTTGGATTAAAAAATGTGAAAAAATATATATGTAAAACGAACTAAACGTAAATCCTACTAAATGTTGGATTAAAAATGTGAAAAAATATATATGTAAAACGAACTAAACGTAAATCCTACTAAATGTTGGATTAAAAATGTGAAAAAATATATATGTAAAACGAACTAAACGTAAATCCTACTAAATGTTGGATTAAAAATGTGAAAAAATATATATGTAAAACGAACTAAACGTAAATCCTACTATATGTTGAATTAAAATATATAATTTACTGTGATATTGATTAGATAACTATTGAGACTAGGTTTACTTATTCTTAACCTAGTTATTGTTTTATAGCATGGGAGTGAAGTTTCCTTCTTCAGTTAAAATATATCATTTGTAATCATCTTTTCCCCACAGATTTCTACCATTCTTCAGATGGCTTTTCGGTCACTTTGCTAAAAGTAGCGAATATCCCATTTAGACAGTTCTAGTTTAGAAACATGACAAGAAGTATACTTATTGATAACTAGTTCAGGTTACTCTACTTATTTCCTACTAGTTTAGAAACATGACAAGAAGTATACTTATTGATAACTAGTTCAGGTTACTCTACTTATTTCCTACTAGTTTAGAAACATGACAAGAAGTATACTTATTGATAACTAGATCAGGTTACTCTACTTATTTCCTACTAGTTTAGAAACATGACAAGAAGTATACTTATTGATAACTAGATCAGGTTACT